ATATATATATATATATATATATATATATATATATATATGTATGTATACAAAAACAAAAACAAAACCAAGTAAAGTCTCTTTAGAAATATCTAAGGTGAGGTAGGCATGGTGGTACACTTCTTTAATCCTGTCATGCAGAAGGCAGAAGCAGGCTGATCTCAGTGAATTTGAGGCCAGCCTAGGCCATATACCTGGTTCCAGGCCAATCAAGGCTGCATTAGGGAGTCCCTTTCTCAAAACACGCAGAAAAGTATGTGAGATGTGTGTAACTAGGTGTGTGCATGCATGTATATGCAGGGCTCTCATAACAAATGCATCTCGATTAGGTTGGGCACAAAGAGGAAGTTGATTTGTGGGATATCTGGGGCATTTTGTAGAAACCAAGATCCAGGAAGTGCTACTGGGACACTGGAGGGGTTGGGCCCGGGCTGTGGAACAAGACTCTGCCTCAGAGTCCACTCTATACCTTCCCTCCTTCTCTTCTGTGCCCTTCTGTGCCTGGGCTTGCACGTGTCTGCCTCATCCAGCTCTATATTACCTACAAGTTCTATCAGACAGCAGAGACTGTCTTCAGCCACTTGCTCTGCCTGGGCAGGGCCAAGCATCCACATTCGACTCAAATATTGATGGTGTGTGTGAGCATGCCTCTAGGGCCACACCGTGGGTGTGCGCTGCACAGTTAGACGAGATGGTACCATAAACAGAATATGCCACAAAGCCAGAAGTGAAAGTAAGAGAGTCAGTGTGTTCTGAAGGAGCTGTAAGCAATTGGTAAATTCAGCACAGGCCCTATAACTCACAGGCTTGCAGAGGCTAAGAAAAGATGGCTGATTGCTGACCTGTCTGTTTCCTTATGATTTGGAAACGGTTGGAACCATAATTGTATAGCAAGTTCATTATCCTGTATTTAATATAATTAAGGCCACATTATATGTTGTGTTCTGTGTGTGTGTGTGTGTGTGTGTGTGTGTGTGTGTGTGTGTTTATGGTTTTCCAAGAAACAGTTTCTCTGTGTAACAGCCCTAGCTGTTCTGGAATTTGCTCTGTAGACCAGGCAGGCCTTGTACTCACAGAGATCCGCCTGCCTCTGCCTCCTGAGTGCTGGGATCAAAGGCGTGCACCAGCAATGCTGCCTGGCAAGTGCTTGTTGTTTTTAATATTAAGTGTGATACTTGGTTTCATATGTCATTTTTGCTACACCACGGTGTACAGATTTTTGACCAGTGATCTAGATGCTTTTGTAAAGGTGTTTTGTAGGTAAAGTTAATGTTTTTATTTCCAGCAAACTTTCACTAAAGCAGGTTACATTATTAATAGTGGTAGTAGTAGTATATTTTTTGTCAAGGCTCACTTTGTAGCCCAGGCTAACCTCAAATTTACAAGAGACCTACCTGCCTCTGCTTTTTCAGAGCTAGAGTTAAAGGTAGGTATCACCCCAGCTTCAAGTTACATTTTATAATGAGGCTGCCAAATGACTGACTTTTTTTTTCTTGGTGGTTTTCTTTTTATGACAGGGTTTCTCTATGTAAACAGTCCTGGCTGTCCTGGAACTCACTCTGTAGACCAGGCTAGCCTCAAACTCACAGAGATCTGCCTGTCTCTGTCTCCCAGATGCTGGGATTAAAGGTATATACCACCACTGCCTGGTTTTGTTTTTTAAGTTTGTTGTTGTTACTATTATAATTATTTTGGGTTTTTGTTGTTGTTGTTTTTTTCTAGACAGAGTCTTTCTACATAACTTTGGCTGTCCTGGAACTCACTCTGTAGGCCAAGCTGGCCTTGAACTCATAGAGGTCCAATTGCCTTTGTCTCCAAAGTGCAGGGATTAAAGACATATGCCACTACGCCTAGCTAAAAAATTGTTTAAGCATTTATTTATTGTATGTGTGTGTGACTTGTGTGCTAATATGTATCTGTGTATCTGTGGGAGTCAGTTCTCTCCATCTGTGGGTTCCAGGTATTGAACTTGGGAAGTTAGACTTTTCCTAGGAGAGAGAATTTTGTCACCAAACTCCTTCAAATTTGAGCCATATCTCACTTCTTCTTTGGACCCCCATCTCATGGGTTTGGGACTTGTGAGCCTCCACAATGGCTTGAGCTAGCTCCTCAATGTAAATCTCTATATATATGATGTACAGATATGCTCCATAGATTATTTCTCTGGAGCACCATGGCTGGAGCAAATCATAAAACTGTTTAATTCCTACACAGTGCTGTAGAATGAACCAGGCCTCACATATGCTAGGCAAGCACTCTACCACTGAGATAACTGTGGCTCTTTTTTTTTTTTTTTAATTTTATTTTTATTTTAAGACCTTTTCCTGCTAATTTACTTACTCTGTAGACCAGACTTACTTTGACTATGCAGTCCTCCTGCACCGGCTTCCCAAGCAAAATGTTCTTATATTCCTAAAAGGTGGTTTTTACACTGTAGGCCTATTACTGTCCTAAATATTAGTTACCTCCATTTAGATAGGAGGAGCCTGAGATGGAAGGATATTATGTGGCCACCCCAGGGTCCCAGTGCTGAAGACACAGACATAGTCAGCCTAGCTTACAGCCCTGTCTATCTATCAGGTGGACCTATCTTTTCTGGGTTAACTCGAACCTGGGCAGGTAAGGACATGTGCACCTGGGAAGAGGCAAATTCAGAAGCCTTCTGCCACGTGTTCTGGAAAGCCGAGAAGCCTGTCTCAGGAAAAAAAGAAAATGCAGCCTTTATGTAGAAGGAAGAGACTGTCCCAGGCTGTGCAGTACTGATGGTGTCTTTCCGAGCTAGGGTTCTCTGAGACACCCTGTGGCTTTGCTGCAGCTCTGTTTTCTCTTCCAGTACAATTTAGGTTGGTCTTTGTGGTTCACATTTGAGACTTCCAATACATGCGTTTTTGTAAATGGCAGGTAGTAGGTCTACGTCTATTACTGGGGAGTGCTGTAGACACTGTTCCTACATAGAGACAAAGATAATGAGTCCCTCTGTGTCTACCAAGTCTGCAGCATTGTGTGATGTAAATCATCTGTGACAGTTTTGATTTATGACTCCTCACCCACTAGTGTAGACCCCTAGGTTGTCCATTCATTGTGTATATTGTGCATGGCCTCTCACACATCAACATGCTATCCTTTCCACACAGACCACGACTCCCATTTCATTAGCAGGGTACAAGAACAAGAGAAATCGGTCCTTATTGTGCCACCATTGCCCTGTTGTGTGATAGGCTGGGTACTTAACTAAAATTCACAACTGGTATTTTTTTTTTCTGCTGTTTGTCTTTGTCCCATACTGTGATTATTCTGAACAATTAAATTGTATTTAAGGGGTTGGAGTGCAATCCATTGATAGAGCATTCCGTGGCCCTCAGCCATTGGTTCAATCCCTGGTGTCTCAAAAAAAAAAAAAGAAGGAAAGAATTTTTTTAGAGACAGCTTTTGAAATTGCTTTAATTGCAAGTCATTTCATTGGCTCTTTTTGCTCCCTCCCATGGAGGCGCCACAGTGTACCAGACAGTTCTGATCCTGTGTGATAAGCAGTCAGGAAAGCGTATCAGGCTGAATAAAACCACTTTGTAGAATAACTGAAGGAAATGTTGACTTGGGTTTCCTTGTTATCAAGGCCGTGCAATGAAAAAGTTAACAGTGCCGTGAGATTAAAAGTACCTAAACCAGGCTGGTGGCTCATGCCTGTAATTCCAGTGCTCGGTATCTGTTCGTACATAGTGAGTTTGAGACCATTTTGGGCTGAATGGAACCCTGTCTCAAGAAAGCAAAACCAACCAACAAATGCCTCTGGGAGAGCCAGTGTGGTGGCGCATGTCCTGGCACAGGCAGGGTCCCTGGGTTCCATCCATCCCGTACCGTAAGAAACATCCTATAATTTGTTGGGCATACATTTTTATGCACTTGAAAATAATGTAAAGCACTTAATAATTTGTCCTTTTGTTGTCTCCCCCACTCTCCCATACTTCACCCTTTTAATAGACAGGCTCTCACTACATAGGCAGGTTGGCCTCAAACTCCTGCCTCCCTAGTACTAAAATTGAAGGCGTGTGTCACCAGGCTGGGTTCCCACCAAATTCTTCTCAATGGGCTTGCCATTGGAAATCTAATGGAAAGCCCAGGAGAAAACAAATTACAAAGTGTTCCTTTCCAACAGGAAGGGAAAACATTGAGCTGCAGACTGCAAATGGCAGCTACTCCTGGGTGGGAAGAGAGTGAGAGTGCCAGTCTTCCTCCCAGGAAGTCAGAGTGCTCATGTAGACCGAATTCGGGTGGTGTTCTAGAGCTCCTTCGCCTTGATTGCAGTGTCTCCCACTGTCCTGGAGCATGGGCAGCAACCAGGTCTGGACAATCAACCAGAAAAAGCACTTCCCACAAAGATGGATGGAGCAACAGGAGCAGTCATTGACTAAGTCATCCCTGCAAAAGCATTAAGGTCTGCTGTGTCCCAGCCTAGTTAGGCACTGGGAAGATAAAGAGAAGTAGAAAGCCTACAGTTCTTGGTAGGGTTTTAAAGCATGGTGATGTTTTATTATTATTATTTGCTTGTTTGTATCTGTCTAACTTTGTTTACTTTTCTCTCCTTTAGTACCCTCTTATATATGGGCTGATTCTCATTCCCTGCTGGAGTTCTCTTGTTTGCCTAAGTAGAGTCTACATGGGAATGCACTCCATCCTGGTAAGAAAAAGCGGGTGTCTATCCTTAATACCTCTTTTTTTCTGACACTGGCAGAAAACTTTGCAAACTTAAGTCAGATGATTATATGATCTGTCTCACAGACAAAGCAAAAGTAGCTTGGCACCAGAACCTGCACCAGTTGCTGACCACTTGATTTTTATTCTGAAACAGGTGGAGACTGTCTTTTCCCTACTGGCTGGAGCACAATCTCAGTCTTTCTGGATGGGCTAGTCTTAAAATGGGTTCAAAGAAAATGAAGGAAATAGGTGAAGGGCTCAGCCCTCCAGGCCATCAAGTTCCAGGGATGGGGGAAGGGCTTCCTGTAGACAAGAATTTTACTGGGTATAGGAGATTAAGAGTTTTACATGAATTTTTTACAAAGAGAGGGAAATTAAGGGAACATTGGCTCTTAATGAGCAAGCTACTTTAGATAGGCAGGAAAAAAACATTTCTCACAAAATCCAAATGAGAAAAATACAGGTTGTAAGTGTTCCCCATTTTGCAAATGTATCGGCCTTGTATTTCACTTTTCCCTTCAATGCTGAGAGTGTTTCCGAAGCTTGAGGAATGTGTAACCTTTGGTGGGACACCTCCCCACTCTCTTGCCTGCTCTGCTGTCTCATGTTCTGCACTCTCTGCAGATGTTTCTCGAAACCTTTCTTATCTTTTCGTTCTCTTCCAAAGGAGTGGTCAGGCGCCTCTTCCCATTCACTGAAACTGGGAGTGGCTCTGCCTGTCTGTCACCCCACAGTGGACTGTAAATCCTTTAGATCTTACCTGTGTGTTTTGTCTCTCCACCCTCAGCATTACAGGAGACATTCTAGGATTTCTTGCCTATTAACTTGTAAATGGAGGATCAAAAAAAGATGGCAAAAGTAAAATAATTTATGAAATCCTGAATTTTCTGGTGGGTTATACTGATTTGTTGTTGTTGTTGTTCTTTTAATTTTTAGGATTTTTTTTTTTTTTTTTTTAGGGCCCTACTTAGTGCTGTGAACCTGGGAAAACAGGGCCTAAAAATGGGGCAGACTGGGGGCAGGGACACAATGGCTCAGGCCTTTAATCCCCAGCATTGAGGAGGCGGAGGCAGGTGGATCACAGATTTCGAGGCCAGCCTGGTCTACAAAGCCAGGACTGTTACACAGAGAAACCCTATCTAGAAAAACAAATAAAAAGAGAGAGAGAATGAAGTGTCATGTAATAGACAATTTCATTCAGAGAGCATCAGAGGGTTAGGAAAGGTCACCCAAGTAAATTTTCATGAGTTCAAGCTGTGGATAATCTCAAGGACAAACTGCATGTGGCCAAACATGTTTCTCCATAGGGACATATCAATGACAATAGCTGATGTAAACTCATTCCAATGTGCTACACCTGGGAGGAGCACGAAAACACATTCCAAGGACTATTCGGTGTTTTGAAGAAACTGAGGTCACAAGACTCTTGTTTTCTTACAAGCACTTAGGATTCTCATGTGACTTCATGTTGGCCTGTGTTGACATGCTCTACTTGTAGAAACATCTCAATAGCTTATTTCACAGCTGTAGAAATACTGCTGTCCTCGCCACTCTACCTATTTTATAATCAGACTTTTTTTTTATTTTTATTTTTTTTGAGACAGTGTTTCTCTGTGCAGCCCTGGCTGCACACACCTGCCTCTGCCTTCTAGCAACAGGACTAAAGGTGTGAACCACCATCACCTGGCCAAGGAAAATGTATTTTTATCTCTAAATGTATTATCATTCCAAGAGGAATAAGAATTTTATTACTGAATATATGATCTCAAAAATACTGTCCTTTAAAAAAATGAAAATATATGGGCTGGAGAGATGGCTCAGTGGTTAAGAGCACTGACTGCTCTTCCAGAGGTCCTGAGTTCAATTCCCAGCAACCACATGATGGCTCACAGCCATCCATTATGAGATCTGGTGCCCTCTTCTGGTGTGCAGATATACATGGAAGCAGAATATTGTATACATAATAAATAAATTAAAAAAAAAAAAGAAGTCTGTTCTCTGCCACAAAATTATTTTAAAAAAAGACCTTTAAAAAAAAATGAAAATATAGCCATGCATACATCTTTAATCCTAGAACACTCAAGAGGTAGAGACAGGAAGATCTCTGTGAGTTTAGGGCCATCCTGGGTCTGCATCATGAGTTCAAGGCTAACCAGGGCCATATTGAGGAGTCCCTATCTCAAAAAAACAAAAACAAAAGTTTAGTGATTGATCAAATATTTCTTCTGAGTTCAGTTTACTCTTTATATACTAGACTATATCCATTCTTGAATCATCTGGAGTAAAAACAATATTGCCATAAGCTTTTTTTGTTTGGTTTGTTTTTTGGTGTTTGGAGGTTTTTTTGTTGTTGTTGTTTGGTTGTGAGCCTAGCCTTTAACGGCTGAGCCATCTCTACAGCCCACCGTCAGTTTTTTTATTTTGTTTTGTTTGGTTTGGTTTGGTTTGGTTTTTCGAGACAGGGTTTTTCTGTGTAGCTTTGGAGCCTATCCTGGCACTCCCTTTGGAGACCAGGCTAGCCTCGAACTCACAGAGATCTGCCTGCCTCTGCCTCCCAAGTGTTGGGATTAAAGGCTTACACCACCAACGCCCGGCCCAGTTTTTTTTTTTTTTTTTTTTTTAATTATGTCTATGTGGGGAGGGTGTATGTGTGCACATGACTGCAGGAGCATTCGGAGACCATAGACATTAGATCTGGAGCTGGAGTTGCAGGCAGTTATGAGCCACCCTACATGGGCTAGAAACTGAACCTGGGTCCTCTGCAAGAACAGTACATTCTCTTAACCATGGAGCCATCTCCATTTTTCCATTCATGAATAGACAGGCCTGATCCTTTATGTATTTGATTTTACTTTATTTTGTTTTTGTTTGTTTCAGTACCAAGGATTAAACCTAGGGACCTCACATGTAGGCAGGCTCGCCAAGACTTTTTTTTTTTTGAGACAGCACTCAGACAGGTTGCCCAGGCTGACCTTGAATTCTTCTGTATCCACAGCTGGCCTTGAACAGTCATTCCTTCTGCCTTAGTTTACCTAGTCCACCCAAGCAGTTGGAATTGTTTTCCTGTACTACCATGCCAGGCAACCCTAATTTGTTTAATTGCTCAATGATCAGTTTGCTCCCAAAGAATATGTAATTTGTCTTATTAAAAATAGCTACAGGGAGTCAGGCAGTGGAGGCTCACACCTTGAATCCCAGCACCCCAGAAGCAGAGGTAGGCGGATCCCTGTGAGTTTGAGGCCAACCTGGTCTAGAGTGAGTTCCAGAACAGCTACAGCTACAGCTACACAGAGAAACCCTGTCTCAAACAAACAAACAAATAAAAAGAATCCTTTTTATCATAAACAATTTTTAGTGAAATATTTTTTTAAACATTTTATTCTGTTTTGATTTTTAGACAGGGTTTCGTGTAACCCTTGAACTTGTGATCTCCTACCTCTACTTCCCAAGTGCTGGGATTATGGCTAGGCCCTACCATGCCTGATTTTTGCAGTGCTGGGGATCAAGCCTAGGCTTCATGCATGCCAGGCAAACCCTCTACACACTGGACTACATCCCAGCCCAAGTTCCAGTACGATTGATTCTGTCGTCTGTTTGTAAGGTGTTTAACACCCAAAATAGCATTATACTAACTGTACTTTTATCTTTTCTAGGATGTTATTGCTGGGTTCCTATATACTATTTTAATCTTACTTATCTTCTACCCACTTGTGGACCTGATTGACAACTTCAACCAAACTTACAAATATGCTCCGTTCATCATCATCGGTCTCCACTTAGCTTTGGGCATCTTTTCTTTCACTCTTGACACCTGGAGCACATCCCGAGGAGACACGGCTGAGATTCTGGGAAGTGGTGCTGGAATTGCCTGTGGTTCTCATGCTACTTACAACCTAGGTCTATTATTAGACCCTTCTCCACACACATTACCCTTAGCCAGCCCCCCCCTCACTGTAACTCTGTTTGGAAAAGCCATATTACGGGTCGCCATAGGAATGCTATTTGTACTGATCGTGAGAGATATAATGAAGAAGATCACCATTCCTTTAGCCTGTAAACTCTTCAGTATTCCGTGTGATGACATGCGGCAAGCCAGGCAGCACATGGAAGTGGAGCTGCCGTATCGCTACATTACCTACGGGATGGTTGGTTTCTCCATCACATTTTTGGTTCCCTACGTATTTTCCTTTATTGGTATCTCTTGATGGAGAAATAGTGTTTATTATAAGAAAGGAGGCTACCAGTTGTATCCAAAACCATTCTCCAGGTAAAACACTCGGATCAGAGGCTTTTGCAAGAATTTAGCTTAAATAAGTAAATTCTGCAGTCCGTGCATTTGATCATTGCACATCCAGATGTTTTAGGTGGGCTGAGCTCCTTCAGTACCGAGAAGTGGTGTGCCCATTTAGAATGTTCACAAAATGTTTGGAGAGTTCCGTGTTGTTACAAATTGTAGTCATATATAATATATATTAAGGTATACAGTGTGCAAATGTGTATCTAGTATATATTATATATCTAAATCATTTGCCTAAGAACTGTGGGGTGCATTGGAAGATCAATAACAATATGCAGTTGTGCCGGCATTTTTGGAACTAATGCAGGCATGTTGTTATTAACAAATGGGTTTAACGTTTATTTCCTACGGGAGCCATTTCCTAGTTGAATTGATAAATGCCAGAAAGATTCCATATGCTACCACATACTGATTTACTGCCTTTTTACACTGCCATCCCCTTTCATGTTATCCACGATGTTGAACATGGGAGGCATCTTTAATGGACCAAGTTTTCGGGAAAGTTTGCTTTTTTGAACCTCTTTCTTTCTTTCTTTCTTTCTTTCTTTCTTTCTTTCTTTCTTCTTTATAAGTTCTGTACACTGTGTTGAATGTACTTTTTTCCCCTCAATTATTTTGGTCATCAGTTTAATAATTCAGGTACTGAATTTGATTGTTGCTAACTGTGCCTTTCTTTTGCTGGGTTAAGAGACACCATGTATACTGTGATGTAAAAGTAAGACTCTAATTCTACCTTAAGCTATATAATCAGGCAACTATTTTAGAAATATACATGTCAATCTAACAGAGATAGAAGCAGATGACCCATAACACTTTAAAAGTCTTTTTTAGGAAGAAATGTGGAATAGCTAAATTTTCTCACTAATTTATTGGAAAGCTAAATGGATAAGTATTTCCATTTTTGTAGGTATTTTTCTGCGTGTTGCAAGTGATAGGAACAATATATATCTTATGTACATCATCTTGATTGTTTATAATACAGGCAAACATTTCCAGTGAGTGGAAATGCAACTGAAGTTTATAGATGAGACAGTGTACACCCTTTCTATGTAAACAAGCCATTTTTTTCTAAATTATTTGAAAAGGATTGGATTTCCCACTGTTAATTTTCAACACCCACTCACTAGCAACCTAAGGTAGACTATAAAATCCAAGCGTGATGTATCAGTAGTTTAGGCTCTATTATTTTCCCAGCTTATTATTTTTACAGTGGGAGATTTAATGTATGAGTACTATTTTTTCTATCTGCCTTTATATTTTGAAGTGTGACTGTAATTAGGTTAACATTACATTTATTTATAGTGAGTTTTTCACAAAGAAGAGAACTAACTTTCCATATAAATGAACATCAGGTATGGAGCTAACGACTTCGGTGCAATATCTCTGGTAACTCAGAAGGAAATGTTTCTATTTTGGACAACAGAAGTATTTGAGCTCATATTTTTATAATCCTGATTGAAAACTTAGGGGCCTGGTAATTTTTACCCAAATGGAATCTGATCAACTTTAGCCAGTAAATTTGGGCCCTTTGGCTGCCAGGAAAAGAAAGCGGGTGCTTAGGAAGCCATCGGTACGCTGGAAGCTGGGAAGCTTTCCCAAAAGGTGTGCTTAATGAATTGAATAAAAGGAGGGTCCCAAGCTTTGGGTCTGTTACCCTAATAAATTTTTTTGTGTAGCTTATAAAGAATTTGAGAATATTCTATTTCTTTGTGTTTTATTATTTTTTGTTTGATGACAGTTCTATGCTAAATGTATTTTAAAATAAAAGCCAAATTCAAGATTGAAAGGACCTCTGTTTGTTTTCCTCTTGTGTGCATGTCTGTTTTTTGGGGGGTTGAGGGGAGGTGGTTTGAGACAGGGTTTCTCTGTCTAGCTTTGGAGGCTGTCCTGAAACTCACTCTGTAGACCAGGCTGGCCTACACTCACAGAGATCTGCCTGCCTCAGTGTTGTGGGTTAAAGCTGAGATTCCTCTCTCTCTTAAATTAATAAAAAGAAACCTGTGCTTCTGCATCAGGACAGAAGATTGTGCCTTGTCTTAGGGGTTTCCCTTCAACCTACCAGGGGTGCCCGTCATGGAATCACCATTCCATCATGCGTGTTCTGTCTTAGGAATTCCCTGAAGGCAAGGAAAACCGTACCGTCTTTGGCTGGAACCAGTCTCTAAAACAAATAAGGTTAGTGTGGGATGGGCCATAGTCCCGCTCCAAGCATTCTGAATCAGCAAGGAACCTCCAGGAGAATAGCATCTTAGCTCTCGTGGCTGTAAACCTTCTCCTTCGGATTAAGACATTTAAAGGTTAAAAATGGCCTTTTTAAAATCTCTGTGGCAATGCCTCTGATACGGACCTTATTAAAGTTTGCTCCCTAAAACATACTTCTATCCTAAGGCTTGTAAACTGCCCATTACATTCCTGTAAGAATGAACTCTGACTTCTAGTTTCTAATAACATTTGCATAACATATAGCAATTTTCCCTTAAATTTATGATTCATTGTGTTTTTGAGGCAGAGACTCATGTATCCCAGGCTAGTCTTGAACTGCTCCTTAACTTCCCAAGGCTATGCCACCACACCTGACTGCTGTGCCTAATTAAGCTTGGTGAAACTCTACTACAATTCTTATGAGGAAACATGTCCTCCTTGTAAAGAACAGAGAGTAAAACTTCAAAGAATAAAAGATTTTCAAAAATGCTTGAGGAAGTAAATATTAATTTCGTAGTTTCAGGTGAACTAGTTCATCCTCATGGGCTCGCCCATGCCTCCTCCATACACAGAATTCTGCCTCCAACAGCAACAAGCTGAGAACAGCATCAAAGTGTCTGTCCTGTGACTGAGAGCCGACCATTCTATGCTGAGCTTCATAGTTCTGTGGCTTACAGCTCCCAGCAGGCTAAAGGATAACAGCTGTCTCCTTCACCAGTTCAGTCTTGGTGCATTTTGCACAGATGGTTAGAAATCCTATCCCTGGTTACAACAAGGGACAAACATGACAGAGAACCTGTTCTTTAAGGTGCCTCTTCAGCTTCCTTTATGAAATGATTTTAAGTTAGTTTTATAGCTTTGACATCTTATTTGTTTATTTTGAGACAGGGTCTCTTGGCCTTGGCTATCTTGGAACTCATTTATGTAGACCAGGTTGGCCTGAACTCAGAGATCACTCTGCCCCTGCCTCTGTTCTGTCTCTGCCTCCTAAGTGCTGCACCCCCATACCCAACTATTTGTCTTTTTTTTAAAAAACATGTATTCACGGTTTATCTGTGCACCTGTGGAGGCCAGAAGAAAGTGTGAGATCCCCTACTGGAGTTACAGGTGGTTGTGAGCTGCTCTGGGAGTGCAGGGAATTCCAGTCTTCTGCAAAAGCAGAAAAAGAGTTATCTTTCTAACCAAATTGTATTAATTACCTTTTAAAATTTAGTGTATCCCCTGAATGATTGTGATCGCCCTTGCCTGCAATCCTAGCAACCAGGAAGTGGAGGCAGGAGAATCAGGATCTTAAATTCTTGACTATGTAACAGGTGGGAAGGCCAGCCTGGGCTACATAAAACCCCATCTCAAAAAATAGGGTTTTGTACAAGGTCAGTGGGAGACCATTTGCCTAACACACATGAGGCCCTGGGGTCCAATCCCAATATTTTGAAAATGAACCAAAAATAAATCACGTTATCTTTCCTCTGACAACATCTCCATGGGGGAAAAAGGTACCTGTTCATCTACTTCTGCCATAGCTGGGATACACCAGACATTCAATGAATATACTATGTTCAGTGGATTGATTATACAGTCCCTAGACAAGCTTTAGTAAGTGTGTGTGTGTGTGTGTGTGTGTGTGTGTGTGTGTGTTAGTGAAGGACATTTGTGGCATTCTTCAGATTCTCAGAGATTTGATAAAAGTTTAAAATTCCTTTTTTAGCATCTTATTCTTCGTTGCTTTTTGTTTGTTTGGTTGGTTGGTTTTTGGTTTTGACTGTCTCTGCCTCCAGAATGCTGTGATTAAAGGCATGCATGGCCACGCCCAGCAGCCCTTCTGTAATGTTATCTCCTTTTTTCTTTCTTATACATGTTAGTGATGCCTGCATGTCTATGTCTATGCACCATGAGTCCCGGTGCCTAGAGAGGCATACATTTGGCATCTGATCCCCTGGAACTGGAGCTCCATTATGTCTGTGTGGCATTGTGTGCAATGTCTGTATTTGCCTGTCCTCAACTGTAACTTTTTGTGGGTTACTTAGAAGATCAACACATGACAGTGTGGCCATCAAGTCTTTTCTAAATAATAGAAAACCTAATGAAGCTAAGACTCTTCTTAGAAACGTTAAAACAACAGGACCAGTGAGATGGCTCAGTGGGTAAACGTGCTTGCCGACGGGCAGGACAACCATAGTTCGACAATCCCCAGGACCTCCTTGTTGAAGAGAGAGAACTGATTTCCTCAAGTTGCCCTTTGACCCCCCCATGTGCCCACCTCCCCACTCCAATAAATGAATAAAGTGCAAGTAATTTTTTTTTTTTTTTAAGAGAAAAAGTGACCAGACAGTGGTGGCTCATGCCTTTAATCCCAGAATCCAGGAGGCAGAGGCAGGCAGATCTCAGTGAGTTCCAGGACAGCCTGGTCTACAAAGTGAGTTCCAGGACAGTCTCCAGAGCTACACAGAGAAACCCTGTCTGGAGAAACAAAACAAACAAAAGAGAGAGAGAGAGAGAAAAGGTGAAAATAACCACTTGTGCGTTGTGGATCATTTCATAGGCACAAGCGATATTCATGGTATTTGTGCTTCAGTCAGCAAACACCCTTCCCAACCAGACTCTTCTTGTCTCCAGGAGTCAGATGAACCAGATGTGTGGCTAGTTTTTATTTCAATGCATGGAGGAAGTTCCATGGTCTTTTAAGTGTAGCAGCATAAGAAATAAACTTGAAATCCCTTCCCAGGGCACAGCAGCAAATCCCAGAGGGAAGCTCTGCAGAACATGGGAACTTTGTAGCTGGTATGCAAAGATCCTTAACCCCTTGATGCAATTCCTCACCCTCTCAGGGTAGGTTCAGGGGTGTGTCACTGGGCTGCTGTCAAATCTTCTAGGAATTTGGGAGGTGTCAGTGTCAGATTGTCTCCTCACTTCTTGGGTCTCTTCTAGGTAACTGCAGTTACAGCAGCCATGGTATATCACCCAAATCCGTAACTAATATAAAAAATTAGAAAAATAATACTTGAATGTATATTTTCTCTTATTACAGATTATAAAACAGAAAAATGAATTAAAATACTTAAATGTTCATCAAATAATAGTTTTCACTGCCTTCAAATTGGTGCAATTTCATCCAAGAGCTAAAATGGCTTGACTAAGTACTTTCTAAAATCATTATTCTAAGCCAGGCCCAGTGTGATGGTGAATGCCTTGCCTGTAATCCCAGCACTTGGAAGACCCAGATGGAACTGAGTTCAAGATCACAAGTGAGTTCCCAGCCAGTCTGGATAGCATTTCCTTCTTCTCCTAAGCTGGCTTTGAACTAATGTGTAGCTATATATTTAAGGATGACCTTAAACTTCAGGTCCTTCTGTGTCTTCCTTCAGACCTCTAGGATTGCAAACATGCCCCACCATGTCAGCTTTTGAAATGCTAGGCAAACTCCCTAATAGCTGAATTGCATCCTCAGTACAGAAACCCTAAACCTAACATTTCCTTTTCATGATCAATAATGATTTTGTCGTAATTATTTTGTAATGTACATACATGTCAGGTTAGATACTAAAATAACTAATATAATAAACTATACAATATATTGGGTAACCACTCTATTATCATCTTAATGATAACATATAATTATGATGTTGGAGAGATGGCTCAGTGGTTAAGAATGCTGACTGCTCTTCCAGAGGACCTGGGTTCAATTCCCAGCACACACACACACACACCAGCTCAGAACTGTCTATAACTCCAGTTGCAGGGGACTGGACACCCATGGCAAAACACCAATGTACATAAAATAGAAAACATATCTTGTTTTATAAAATATAATAACAAAAATAATAAATAAAATATGAAATAAAATACTCCATCTTTTAGTTTTCCCTCTTCTTCTTCTTCTTCTTCTTCTTCTTCTTCTTCTTCTTCTTCTTCTTCTTCTTCTTCTTCCTTCTCCTCCTCCTCCTTCTCTCTCTCTCTCTCTCTCTCTCTCTCTCTCTGTGTGTGTGTGTGTGTGTGTGTGTGTGTGTGTGTGTGTATACCCATGCATACACATGGGGAGGCCAGAGCAGGACATTGGGTATCTTCCCCTATGGCTCTCTTCCTTATTGCCTTGAGAACCATGAACCAGAAGCTCATGGTTTAGGCTAGGCTGGCTGACCAATGAGCTTTTAGCATCCACTTGTCTTTACCTACAATGTTGGAATTGCAGGCACTGGCAGCCATGCTTAGCTTTTTATGTGGGTGCTGGGGATTGACACTCAGATCTTCATGCTTGCAAAGTAGTTTTATACAAAGTTTTATTTTATATGTATGAGTGTTTGAGTGTTTTGTCTGCATGTATGTATGTGCACTGCTTGTGTGCCTAGTGTCTGAGGAGGCCAGAAGAGGTTGAAACTGGAGTTACAGATGGTTGTTAGCCACCATGCAGGTGCTGGGAACTGAACCCAGGTCTTCTGAAAGAGTACTCAGTCCTCTTAATCACTGTGTCATCCCTGCAGCCCCTTGTTATCTCCTTTTCTGTTACCTTTTCACTACTAGGGTTGGGGTGTCAAACTTCTTTGCATCATCTACTTGAAAAAAAAAAAGCCTTAATCAAGATCTATATAG